AGGAAAACCAGACCAAAGTGAGACAGACAGACATAGCCCCATGTCTGGCAGCTGGGGCTGGTAATGAAATCTCTGGGCTACAAAGGGCTTCCAGCTCTGCCCCTGCTGCACATACAGCCTCTCTCTCCCCAGCAGAGGTCCTGCTTCTGAACTCAACATCCTTGAGTCTTCACTGCAAGTACGGTTTCATCTTCACAGCTTCACATAGTAGCCTTTCAGGGCCTTCTAGGGACGCTGACTGCCACAGACTGCCTGGCCTCAGCAGTACAGTGTGAACAATGCAGCCAGCCAGCTCTGCAGCCTGGGGCCTTTGCACCACTGGCCTTTGTGAGCTGACCCTGAGCAGGGGACCCCTCCTTCAGTAGCGTCCTAAGCTTACACTCTCCTTTCACGAAGCAGACCCTTCCCAGGGCGCGGGCTTTCCCTGGGGCTCCCTACCTAGAGCACCAGTTTCTCCTCGGTGCTCAGCAGCTACAGCAGTTGCTGTAGGCATGCTCTTTCCGAGACTTTTAAAATTGCTTGAATTTTTCCCCATCGAACCGTGAATTTTTTACATCTTGCCTTGCTTGCTCGTTTTTCACTCTGGGTATGTTAACTGTGGTAAGTAACCATGCCATAGCTTGAATGCTCTACTTTCTTCGGCTTTCCTCCATCAAACACATCAGTCCATTTCCTTTTAAGTTCAGCTGCACTGCAGATCTTGGGAGATGGACAGAATGAAAAGGATTCTTTGCTAGAATAGAATGTGAATGGTCTCCAGCCCAGTTCCTAGGATAGCCCCTGTCCCTCTGGAACCTCACGAAGGGGCCTCCACTGCCCTCATCTCTCTCAGCATGCATGTCTTCCAGGTTCCTTCCAGAATAGCCTATTGATCTCGGCTTATAAGATTCGAGAGATTTTCTGGCCCAAAGTTTCAAACTCACATTCCTGTCTCAAAACAGTCCCAAAGACTTAAGGAGCACACTGTCAAGTGGATCGTGGCAATGAGCCTAATTCTCAGTACTGATTTTCTGTGGTCATTTGTATTGTTGCTGAGATAAAATATCTGATAAAGACAGTTTTAGATTAAGGTGTATTTTAGCTCACTGTCCTGGCCATGATGTCACGGCCTCAGGAGCTTAGGAAAGTGGTTACAACAGGATCCAAAGTCAGGAGGCAGAGCAACATATGCTGGTTCTCAGCAGTTAGGGGGATCTTCCCACCTAATCCCTCAGGCTGAGGCGGGAATCCCACCTTAACAACGGGCACTAATATTCATTGTTCTCTAGGCTCCTGGGGATTCTAGACGTGTTAACAATCACATTAGCCCACACAGCCTCTCTTCTTTCATCCCAACACTCTACCCTGAACGCCCCTTACCTGCCCTTTGTGCTGCCCCTCTGGGCCTCTACTGCTGGCACACGGTCTGTGACTCCACTCACTGAGAGTTCCTTAGGGTTTCTCTATTTCTGTCATCTGTTCTCTACCCAGAAATGTCAGAGATCCTTCCACAGTAAACCACAGGGATAGAGAAATGGCTCAATGGTTAAGAGCACTGGATGCTCTTGCAGACGATCAGTGACTCCAGTTCTAGAGGATCCAGTAGCCCCTTCTGGCCTCCTTGGACAGACATACACGTGGTGTACAGACATACATGCGGGCAAATACTCCATACACATGAAAATAAATCTTTAAATTGTGATGTTTTACAAGGTGCTGAATTTCCAAGTATTGGGATTTCCCGTATCAGTCCCTGATGAATTTTCTAGCTGGATTCTGTCTTCGTCAGAATGCAATCGCTTCAGTCTTTTAAAATGTACAAAACTTTTTTCTGGGACAATGCACAGCCTGTTTTGGTAAATGTTCTGTGTGCAACATTGGGTGTCCTACTCCTGAGTTGGTTCTTTGCCCAATTCTCCTCTGTCCTCTCTCACCTGCTCCACTCTGCCTCCTTACTAGTCCTGGAGGGGGAGACCTCTGTTCACAGTCCTGGTGCCCACTTGAAGAAACCTGGTCAAGACTCTTCCCAGGGCTAAGAAAATTGTCTTCCTTCTGTTTTGTGGTTTGGAGAGAAGTGTGCTCCCAAACTGAAGGCAGAGAAACATGGCTGCCCCAGCAGAGGCTCTAGGTTGTCAGGTCCCCTTCTCCTTAGATCACCCTTGAGTGGAGCATGAAGGCAGGCATGAAATCCCCCAGAGCCCACATCATCTGGTCACTGACGGAAGCACTCCTCCATCAGGCATGGTACTCATAGGCTCCAGGGTTTGTACACTTAGCGACTGTCTGGCCCTCATCCTGTGACCTTTAGCCTTTCCCCTGGATGTCTGTTTCCTGCTGGAAGGAGGCAGGAGCTGCAGGGCTTAGGGCTGGGGACACAGCACTAGATGCTGGGAAGGAAATCTGTGAGGTGCAGTGCTGTGGGCAACGGGCACCATCCTGGTAGCTGGCAAAGGGTAGGTCACTCAAGTTCTGTGTGCCTGCTTCCTCGCCCATCCAATGGATCCAGTGTGAGGCAAGTGGAGGAACCCTGGCTTTCTACTTTGAAGTCTGGCTGGGTTTCTTTTAACATTGCTTTTATCATATCAAAGCTTGTTCTGAGTCTGAGATACTGAGCTGCTAGGAAGGAGTTAATGGAGTGCTATATAGACAGACAAATGGGAGGGGACGGGGGACACCCCATCTGATACCTTCCCACCCTAAGACCACCTGGAGCTGCCAGCACAGGTCTAGTCTGCCTTGGAACCACCATGGGGTGCTCTGGACTTGCACTGGAATGCCCAAGAGAAAGAGCTTCAGTGAGGGGTGAAATGGGAGGTGCCCAGGGTGTGTCTGGGGCTCAGAAACCGATCTAGTCATGCACATTGGGCTACGGGGGTTTGACTGTGAAGTGACTTGGCCTAGGGCCAACCCCACTGCCATCCAGTTCTACTCACCTGTGGGACTTGGTGGCAATTGTGTCTCACACTTGAGGGAGGCAAGTTGAGTTGCATGTGGTGGGAGGAACCAGTCCTCCAGACCTTCCTTAGTTAGGCAAAATGAGACCCAGGCTCCAAACCTCTGGGACAGTGGGTTAGGTCTCCCTGTATCTAGGATCCAGAGTCTGGGACCCTGGATGCAGCCCTGGCATCTTCTGGAACCTGCTGGTGCAAGGATTTGGGCACTGAGGTAGCTGTCCCTAGGAGCACTTCCCTCCTGGTGAGGGCTGCATCCAGTCAGCCGCTTCATGTCCCGTCTTGCTGGGAAGCCTTCCAAGCAGGGCCTGTGGGGCAGGCTTGTGTGAGAGAATGAGCTGACACTTGCCTCCCTTGGGCCTGGGGCTCTTGAAGCCAAGGCTTTTTTCCCACGGCTGCCTGGCCTACATGGTGTGTCTCCCAATGACTTTTGTGGAAGACTATGGGTGGCTAGGAGAATACTAGGTGTGGAGTCCAAAGTCCCCTCTCATTTCCCAGGGTGGACCTGTCCCTTTTTCTCCTTGGGCCTCAACTGCCCTGCTCTGAGAATATGAGGTTAAACTTTATTCTGGCTTTTATAGACCTGTCCCTGGTAGTTACCACTATCCTGAGTACTGACTCATAGTACTCCTTATCCCAGCCAGGTGGGGGCTGACATCATGTCTGAGCCTGTTGATAAGAGCTGGGGGGTCCCATGGCTCTTGGTAATCAGGGTGGGCAAAAACCAAAAGCAGAGAGTTTCCACCCAGGTGATCCTCAGAGGCCAGGCAGAATGGCAAATGGGACAGTTTTTCTTGGGTGTGAGTCATCATGGAGGCTAGGGTTGGAGTAGGGTAGGGACCCCCAGGCTCACAGGGCAATGTCATGGCTGGTATCTGAGGGCTGAGGTGAGACCAGCAATGAGGCTGGGTGGATCAGTGGCCGGGACTGAGGTAAAGAAGGAATGGGCCTGGTGGGGCGGGGGCGGGGGGGGGAGGGGGGGGGGGGGCCGGGGGCACAGGGTGGGCAGCACCCTCCCAGATGCCCCCCCCCAGTCCAGTGACAAAAGACAACAGGAGGCGGAAGACTACTGGGTTACCCACACTTGCTCTTTCACGCACACCACAGCGTCTCAAATGGCTGTTGTGTACAACACACCACCTGCTAGAGTCCTGGGGACAGAAACATACGGGGCACAGTTACAATCAGACCAATGCCTGGTGTGCTCCTAAATACGTCTTCTTCTGTGGTCACAGGCCCAGGGCACAAAGGAGGGCACAGGGGGCACAGGAACACCAGTCCTGCGTGCAGGGAAGCCTGGCCGAGCTTGCACAGCCCCTCACGGCAGAGGTCCATCTGAAAAGGGGCGGCTGGGGCCACATGAGGGCAGAGTCACTGACAACAACCCTGTTCCTGTGACTGTTCCTAGTTCAGGCTCTGTGGGGGACCAGGAGCCAGGGCTAAGGAGACTGGACTAAGGGGAAGATCTTGGGATCCCAGGGGTTTCTTTAGTGGCTGCCATTTACTTGCTGTTTAAAACGTGAGCCTGATCTAGAAAGTTCCATCAGGAACCCAGCAAAACCAATGCAGTACCGTGCCCTGGAGTGTCTCTCCTTCCAAGGTAAAAGTCAGGGCTTCTAAAAACAAGTGACACCGAGGCAGCTGCCGCCTGTTCTCTGGGTACAGTGGGGCATGCAGGTGCAGCCCACTAAGTGTATGGAGCAGGCTACCCCAGCCCTTGCTGGGGAAGAGCTAGACAGCTAGACTGCTGCCAGGAGAACTCCTAGGGTCCAGCGAGGGCATCAGCTCCCACCCTTAAGGGCCTTGCTTCCTGGGTGGGCTGTCCTACCTCGAGTCAGTGGACACTGTAGGTTCACTGGGGAGGCAGGCAGTTCCGTGGGCAGGAACCATTCCGCTGCTGCAGGTTCTGGCCCATGGGGGCTTCCCTCAGGTGTCAGCAGCAGCAGCGGCCCCCCAAAACCTGAGCCTGGCTGTGAGCTCTGGGGATTCCCATGGCTCCTGGGATTCCCATCTCACCACCCAGCTCTGCAGGCAGCGGAAGCATTTGTGGAGTCAGGGAGGATGCAGGAGTCAGGGAAGGCTGCCTTTAATAGCTCAGTGAGTCTGTTAACACACTGCATACAGAACCAGAAAGAGTCAGGTGTGGGGACCCCCCTCAGCATGGCTCCTGTGAACTGGTATAATGCGCACAGACCCTAAGCCACCACCCCATCATGGGGCCCTGGTGGGGCTGGAAGTGACTGGTACCTACTATGGGTGCCATGTGGAAAGCTGGTGACTCCTTAGGGATGAAGTCCAAGGGCAGCCAAGGCTCTGGAGCAAAGTGAGGCAGCTGGAGGGGTGTGTGGGGCCCTGGGAGGGTCCAGGTGAGAGGGCACCAGGGAGCTACCAAGGGTCCCAGCCTCTTCTCCCATGGAGCCAGACCTTGCAGGGTAAGTGTGCCCACTGTGTTTCAGCCACTTCCCACAGCCAGGCATCTGGCCTGAGATCAGGCTGGTATGCCCGCCCTGTGCAGGTGTGATGCAGGTTCCTCAGTGGAGGCTGGGGACAGACGGCCGCACGCTGACTCAGGTAGCTTCCTCTTCCTGGGACTCCTCCTTCAGGCTTTCTGCCACCAGCTTCATCTGCTGTTGAGAGAACACAGGGCACCAGATGAAGCACGCAGGTCTCGGGGTGACATGGATAGGGCAGAGGCAGAGAGGCAGGTCTGACATCTGCAGACCCTCAGGCAGAAGAGTGGAATCCCAGGAAGGAGATGCCCTGGGCCACTGCCCACAGCTTACTTCCTGACTTTCTCACCTGGCGTGGAAAGAACGGTAAGTATAGGTAGAATGCTGCTGTGAGCCCGAATACTGGGGGTCTGAGAAACACCTGGCTTTTTCCCGGATGGAGTGGGAGGGCAGGGCCCCAGAAAGACTGGACACCAAAGTAAGGCCAAGTCTTTACTCTGTCGCTATGAGCTAAGAGACTGGGAAGTTTGGACTCACGACCCAGGCACCCCATCCATGCAGACAGTACTGTGCTCAGTTTCTACTCCCACAGCCAGGGTACCCCCCACAAAACCCAGAGCCCCCTGGGGACACCTCTTGCTACAGCACTGGAGAGCATGGCCTGTTCTGCTCTGCCCAACTTGCTAATCAGTGAACACTGGAATGTGGCTTACAGCAGAGGGTGCTGATAACAGCCATCTACCTATGAAAACCAAAACTCTTCAAGTATAAACAGGGCTGGCCTGCTTGTACTAGGCTGTCCCCCTGGACCTGCATGTCACAGGCAGAAGGGCCTCTCAAGGCCATGAACAAGACTCTGTGCCTGCTCTGACAGATCTGTGGCGTGTGCGTTTCTCTGAGGCTTCTTGTTCCTCTAGCCTGGTCTATCTTCTTCCACATGACGCCCCAGAACTGTTCTGCATCCACAGGGACACAAATTCTTTTGGGGGGTGGGGGTTGAGACAGGGTTTCTCTGTGTAACTCTGGAGCCTGTCCTGGAACTCAATCTGTAGTCCAGGCTGGCCTCGAACTCACAGAGATCTGCATGCTTCTGCCTCCTGAGTGCTGGGATTAAAGGTGTGCGCCACCACTGCCCAGCTAACAGAGTAGTTTTTGATGGGGGAGAGGCAGGTAGAGTTGGGTTCAGGGCATATGTTTTGTGCAAGGGCCTGGGCACTGGTTAGACACAGGATTAGGGCTGGCTTAGGGCCATCCCTGCCCAGAGCCTCACAGTTATGGCGTGTCCCCAGAAGAGTGACACAGCTGGTTTGAATTAGTCCACAAATCACAACATTTTGTGTGCCTTCTCCTATGTGAGACCTTGGTCTGTCACCTTTTCCATCATCAGCATCCAGCTTCTCACAGCCCACCAAGCCTGTTGGCTGCTGATGTGAAATGCCCCAGTCAGGGAGACCAACACCACAGCCCGAGTTCACCCTACAGTAGAGTTCACCATGACCCTACCAGCTGGTGTCACCAAATAACCATGAACGTCTAAAATGTCTTTATGACCTGACCGAAAGAGTGAATGGATAGGTGGAAAGCATCTATTTCCTGGTTGACAAGTAACCACAAGAAATGGAAGATTGTGTTAATCTGGAGTAGAGCAGTTGAATCTAAACAAACCCTGGCATTTCAGGCAGGGAGAGAACTGGGCAGCCTCCAGGGCTCCTATAAGGTGCAAGCTGTTCCTTGTGTATCTGTGGCTACACCAGGACCCTCATGGTGCAGATGACTGACACACAGTAGCAGGACACACAGGAGTCCACCGCTCTCCTGGAAGGAGCCCCTGCTGGGATTCAGCCCAAGGCAATGGGATTTCTTCCCTGGATGACACACCCTAAGAGACCCTTGTCCCCATTTGACCCTGTCATCGCTGTACCCATGGGGGTGACCCAGCGACCACAGTCGCTCTCTCGGGCCCAAGGTCAGCGCAGAACAGGCAGACTGGGTTCCCCTACAGCCTGTCTGGCTCAGGACTGTCCTAAGGGACCAGTGGTGTCTGAGGTCTCAGGGCCATGCTCTCTGGTGTGAGGGTGGTCAGGTTTCACAGACAGTCTGGCCTTTACTTGCCCCAGAGCAGGGCCATGAGCAATGGATCCTGGTGGCTCAGCTAGCTAAGCCAATGTCACCCCTGTGCCTCCCTCTGTGGCTGGTCCCTCAGGATTAGGTCACCCTCACTGGAGATCCCTGATTGAGTTGGGCCCTAGCTAAAGGGCATCTCAAGGTTACTCTTCAGCTCTTCAGTTTATCTGTAGCAACTCTGGCCCAGGGTATGTGGGGAGTATGGGAGCAAAGTCACCTCTGTAGACATCAAAAGGACTCTTTGGAGACCCTGAAATTAAATCCTGCATAAACGTCAGGCAGCATAAGATAATAGAGTTGACCTTTCCCTATAAAATAGCAATAGAGTGAAGAAAGAATGGAATTTTTTTTTTAAACTTGTGACTCATTCAAACACTCATGCTCCAAATGGTCCTTTGAAGTGTAGGTAGCTTCCTGTACCTAAGCTTAGCCTGGGGGAGATGTGTTGCTGGGTCCCCCTCTCCCTGTGAGGAACTATAGAAAGGTCTTCTGAGACTGCCGATATTTCCCCGCGACCTGGACAGCTACGGTGGACCCTGCCGATCTCAGACAGCTCCTTTGGGCCCCCAAACCCTAGCTAAGCCCACACTAGAACTCCAGGACCTCTGTTAGAGCACTTGGAAATTTGCTTCTTGTCACAGCTATTGCCCAGCTTAAAACTGCTCAGCACCCTAACACCTGGTTCCCAACAATCCCATTCTGAAGGAATCTGAGCAACCCTAGGCTGACAGGTCAAAGCTCAGTGTTGTTAGAGGAGAGAACCACGCCGACGGCCTCCTGGACCTCCATCCCTTAGAGCACAGAGCCCCGTGACTAGATGGAGCTGGGCACCTGGTCTCCAGGGACTTAGGTGAACAGTATACTCTGAAGGAGGTCCTTGAGGTGGTTTGCTTAGTTGAGCCATAACATCTGGCTCTGCCAAGGCTTCCCAGGAGGAGGCCGCTAGCCTGGGATCTCAGCTGACAGTCGCTCAGTGCTCACCTCAGTCCTGATTTGACTGATCTGGAGGAGGGGCAGCTGTCTGGGATTCTGAGCAGATCCTAAAGGCTCCTATGATTCCTTCTCAAATAGGTAACACAGTGGCAGCTAGTTCAGTATTCTAGATGAGACATCACACACCACCTTTGCCCACCAGAGAGAAACAGGAGGCTGGGCTATTCCTTATGCACAGTGAACATAGGTGATGCCAGGATCATCCAATTGTGGTATATGACTAAGAAAGTATTATAAATTCAGAATGATTGGGAGCTAGGGCTAAACCATAGGAAGAGCAGTGCCAGGCATGATTCACAAGGCCTCTGAAGTCACCGGAGTGAGAATCTAGTCCCAGATACACTTCTAGTGTCCATCATCTACTTAAACCATGGCTTCCACTCTAACTTTCTCACACATGATGCGATGTGCTTTGATCACATCCAGCCCCTTCACTTACCTCTCGGCCCTCTTATGCTGGTCTTCCCCTTCTGAGGGGGTGAGCCTAGGAGAAGCTTGGCAACCTGCGGCTCCTCTCGGCTGGGCCCTCATCTGTACTGGGCTGTGTGCACACCCTCCTCCAACAATGGAATCCTTTCCCTTTCCTAGCAACTTCAGTAAGAGCCCTTTTGTGGTCAATTTTCACTCAAACATGTTCTGAGAATCCTACTGGGGCATAAGAGAGGTGAGCATGTATGGGGGATTGAGCCTGAATTGACCTGGGGTGTCTGTGCCATCAGACGATCTGTGTCCTCTGAGTACACGTTTAGGGAAAGCCCACCCCCCAATTTAGCGTCTTATGCCTGTGCACAATTGGATGTGCATATGATTAGGATCAGATGCATTATGGAAAAAAACATGCTCACTGAACAAAAGCTTGAATAATCCAAAGCTGTCAATCAAAAAAGAACCATCTACATACACCTTTAGCCGACAGTAACTCTTGAGCGCGGCGACCCTTAAGGAGCAGAGCGCACTGCAGCCATCTCAGCTGAACCACTACCGTCTTCAGTTCTTTGAAGACCCCCAAGACTCCAAACTGCCTGCTCCAGACAGCAGCCCCTCAGTAACACTTCTATCTTCCTGCTTTTCTGAAAGCTGGATTCCACTTAGGAGGAAAATGTGCATCTGTCTGTGTCTGGCTTGTTTTGCTAAATGACTTTTAATTCCACCCACTGTCCTGTAAATGACAACTTCATTCATTTTTATGGCTCTCCCCTTCTCTCTTTCTCTCTCCTTCCCCCTCCACCCGTGTGTGTGTGTGTGTGTGTGTGTGTGTGTGTGTGTGTGTGTGTGTGTGTGACACTTTCTATCTGTTTCTATGCTGATGGCTCCTGAGCAGGTCCCATTCCTTGACTGTATATATGAGGCTGTGCATGTGTGTCCCCTGTGTATTGACTGATTTCTTGAGGTCTATGCTCGGGAGTGATATCTGTTTTCAGTCTTTTAAGGAACCTTAACCCTGATTTCCTAGTAGTTACACTACTGTACATTCCCTCTAGGGTACGAAGGACACACACACCCCAACCCTGGCCATCATTTGTTTGTTTTTTTGAGGACAGCTGTCCTGAGTGGGTGAGATGGAGTCTATTTGACTATTTCCAAAACTCCTGATGCCAACTTCACTGGCTTCTTCTCACTGCTTCTAAGGGGAGAGATGCCCCTGAACTGAAGTCTGTAGCAGTAGCTTCCTTTTCTGTTTCCATCCCATGCTTTGTAAAGCTGGAACATTCTAGAATGGCAGCTGAACCACGAGAAGAGTGCTGTTTTTGATCTGCTCTTTGGCCAAGAGACTACAGTGGCACTCTGGGTTATGCCAGGGCCACTGCTGCCGAGAGTCACAAGCCACAACGTCCAGGTCCTAGCTCTTGCTCCACCTTGCTTTTCAGATAGATGAGCTTATCCATCTAATAGGGGTGTGCATGGAACCCCCCCCCACACACACACACACTTCAGCAGAAGTCTCTGGGGTTTGTCTTCCAGGGATGGGTCTCATCTCACAGACCCACCATGGTATTTTAACAGGAGCTATGAGGACTTATCGCCCGGGGGTGAGGTGGGGTGCTGAAGACTCCTTCATA